CAAATACCATATTTGCATCGATGCTATTCTACGATATTTGGAAATATATTTTTTTTTTCAAGGAAAAGAACATTGTATTTTTTATTTTCTTATGATTTTTAAAATTCAAATATATGTTAAATCAAAGTGCGCTTGATAAAAATAATAGGATTGTGTATATAATGTGATTATTGATAGAACGGAAAAAGATTTTTCATCTGAATGATCATAGGTGCAGCAAAAAAAAAAACAAAGCATTATATATTTTTTTTTTTTTGTTTTTTTTTTGTTGTTTAAATATTTGTGATCATGGTGATTAGTGAAAGATTTCAGTGCTGTTTATGTGATGGTTAGTGTACGATAATGAGCGTACATATCTCATGCGCTTACCGCCGTATAGGTGCTACAGGAATATGTTGCTGTTTTATTCTGTGATAATATAGTATATATATATATAAGGATTTGTACATGGTTCAAGCAAAAGGATGTTCTATGAAAGAGATGATTTCAAAAATTAAACAAACTTACCGAGTTTCATCTTCATGAACAGCATCAAGAACATTAGCAACATAATCTAAATTACGCACTAGATCAGCTTTTCGTATAAGTATATTACAATGAAGAGCAGCAATTATTGTTCGTAATCTAGATAAGACAAACAAAACAAAACAAAACAAAGAAAAAATGTAATATAATACTTCAATTACTTGACATCAGTCTATACTTTCATCGTTATTAATATACTCAAGTCAATATGTAGTAAGTTTGTTTTAAAAATAGAATATGTGTCAACAAAAATATACAAGTGACTTCCAATATATTTACTTGTTTGCATATCATATTATCTATTTTACAATGTATACATATATATAGGTCATAAGATAATTACTTTCTTAGGTCAAGAAAAACATAGTATAACATATTCTAGTTTTAGAACAAAATTAGGAATTTAATAACCTTTGTCTTTCATCAAAAACACAAGAATATAAAAAAAAACAGGAAATTTTATTATATCTTGTCTAATTTAGATAAAGAATTACTTACCTATCACTACTAATTTGTAATGCTTCAAATGCATTTGTTGATGGTAAATTATTCAAATTGGTTAAATTGGTTACATCTTGTTCAATAGCTTCATGTGAAATCTTTGAATCACCAACTCCAACATTATCAGTGCTATCACTCGATTTTGATTTGCTTGAGAAGATCGGTGATAGATTCTCTGATAATAACATTAGGATATAATGATAATAATAGTATATATGTATATAGATATGCGTGTGTGTATATGTGTATATGTGTAAATTTATATACAAGTTGATTATAATCAAGCAAAATAAATATATATATGTACAATTCTTTCCGAAATTTTTTTTCTACTTATGAGTACTTAATTAGTAAACAAATATATATATATATATATATAGAAAAAGTTGTTTACCCAAAATGTTCTTGCTGGTTTTTTTTTTGTTGTGATTCACATAAAAGAAACTTCTCTTTTGTAATAAGTTAGACTAACTAATGGATATATAAATGAAGAAAACAACTGACAAGAGATACTGCGTACTATATGAATAAAGAAAAAAAAAAGAACTAGAAGATAGAAAACAACTCATGTTCGAATATTAGATACCTAACATAAAGAAAGAAGAAAATAGGAAAAAAACAACATAAGACATGTTAGATTGAGAAAATATGAGACTACTATGCTAATGTGTATTTGTGCGTAAGACATCGTATGGATTTTATCTTTTGTCACAAATGTCATTGATGAGAAAGCGACACAATAACTGATACTTATTATATATATTTTTTTAAACTTTCTAATATCTAAGATTTTAGTAATTTCAATATTTTAATTAATACTTACTTTTAAGTTTAAAACAGAAAGTCATGAAATAAAGTAGATATTGTTAAATGTTCGATGTTAATAGTGAAAGAATACTCCTACTTTGTAATTTTTCTGTGTTTTTTTTTGTTATTATTTCTATTGTTCTCTCATCTTTACTTCTTATCGATTCGAACAATTGTTTTTCTTTTTATAACTTTCCTAAAGTAAAATTAAGTGTTGGTTTTTATTTTCTAACTTACCAGTGTCATGATTAACCATTGCTGCTGCTCGTGCAGCTGCTGTTTTGTTCGTTTTTGATGAATGATGATGATGATGATGATGTCGTTTGGTATTCGTTGTTGCTGACACTAAAAGAAAGAAAAACAAATTCATATAAATATGATAATTAAACAACAGAGAATAAGAGTAGAAGAAGAAGAAAAAAAAACAAATGAAAACAAAACAAATCACACCGTCAATCATTCTACCATCATGTAATTTCACACAAATACGGCCACTAGTATTTTGATAAAATTTAATCTGAACCAAATCTTCATTGATTTGTAACATATTTTTTATATAGTTTTCATTTAGACAAACATATACATGCTTTCTTTACAAATGTTGATGACTTTTACTTAAGAACATAAATGGATGTAGAATCCAAACTTCTATATCTATTTATCAATGGAATGATTGAATACTCTGACATTTTTCGGATGTTAATGAAATGAAATATATGTTCATCTTCATCAACATCGGAGTTTCTAAAAGCAAATAAAAGCAGTAACATCTTTAAGTAAATACATACATATATGTCGAAAGCAATTGAGGAAAAGCAAGAAAAGAGAAAACATGGGCAAAAGAGTACTCTAAATTATCAACCACAACAACAACATCATCATTCTTCATTTTTTTTGCTTCTTCCTCTAGTTTTCTTTTCCGAAACGAGTATTTATATCATCAACTTCCGATGAATTGATCTATTATCTATTCAAAAATAATGATTTCAATCGGATTTGCCTTACGGCTAATTCTTCAATAAATAACATACATGCAAGTAATTTTTTAACGAATATATACGCACATTGATCTAGGTAAAAATCTCATTAATTTGATTTTTGTTTTATTTAATAAACTTAGTCATTCTCAAGTAGGCCTTGAGTTCTTTTTTTTATTGATGAATTTTTCTATGTATAAAAATGATAAGACCTTGTATAATATTGCTGCTTCTTAATAATAATAGTCGTCATAGAGTCTATTAGTCGGTCTATACATGTGTTCGATAATTGATTATTTGACAATATTGATAGATTGATCGCTTTAATGCACGAATAATAGCAAACGCTTATGTCGAATTACTACAATGATGACAACAAAATAACTATGCCCTTCATTTTTCCATTCTAATATTGTCTGTTATCAGACATATGACTTATTAATATCTCGTTTTTTAGACGTGTTAAAATGCAAAGAAAAAAATAATAAGCATATAACAACTGTCAGTTCTTTAGGTTCATTTTTATCTTAGTTTTTATTTCTTTTTTTTTTTTTTTTTTTGTAATTCATTTAGACTTTATATAGCTATAGGCTTTTTTATGATTATGACAGCTGACGATGAATGACGTCGATTCTTTAAGAATATTCGAACCGTGACCTCAGGCATTTCTTTTGTCTACTCAAGGAAGAAGAAAAAAAAAAATCTTTTATCCGACAAGCTTTTATGAAGTGTAAATAATTATCGCCCTTGATCTTTGAATTTAGTTGCCTTATAAAAGCAATTCATTAACTTTGAAATATTTCAAAAGTAAATTTCAATATACTTACAAACATCATCTTAAAATAAGATTAATATATTTTATTAAATGAAAAATTTAGAATTATTAAAAAAGATTTATTATCTTATATCTTTACCTTTCATACTTTTTGCTGCTGGATTTGAAAGTGAAGTACCAATAATATGTAAAGATGAACATGAAGTTACACGAATTTTTCGTCCAGGCATTTTTAATAAATATGCATAAGCTATATATATATATATACTAATAAGTAGGTTTTGTCCTTCTATATAAATAATTCACTCGTAAAATTATAGACTTTTGTAAAACAAGGTGAACTTACAATTAGCTTTATACAGATAATAATGATCAGTAATTGATAGGAAGACTAGAATAGGCGGTATTTATAGCACCGCTTCGTAAGAACTATTATCTATTTTGTATTTCACTGAAATGACGTTCAACTAAGATTTGTATAGTAGTCATAATGTTGATCATGCAAAAAGGATTCCATAAGAGAGAGAGAGAGAAAAAGAAGTAGAACGAGAAAATACGATTTTTATGCTCATCAGCATTCTTCTTATAGTAGAAGCAACAACGTCGACTACCTATATTATTCGACGGCTGTTGCTTTACCATGGAGGCATTGATGCGTTCACCTTTTCTTATGCTCATAAAAGTAAAAAGAAACATTTTAATTATGCAAGGAAAAAAAAAGAGACCTTAAAGTAAAGAAAAAACCCCAAGAAAAGCATGATGCGTGGAAAACGGATGTACGGCACCATACATGGATCGTAAAAAAAAATAGAAAAATCTATAGTGACCGACCGTGCGCATAGAAATGCAAACAGGATTTTCCATCTCCTTTTTCTATTTTTTTTCTTTTTTGGTAAGAATATGCACGTTCATGCGATTATTTTCTTTAATGATGACATTAGCTTCCCAAAAAAAGAGAAGCTGAATAAATTTGTTCATACGACCAGAAAATTGTATTTTTTATGCATGTACATCAAAAGAAAAACCGACAAATTTTATCATATTGATGACAATAATATTATTCATTTATTTTGTTTTTTTTTTCTTCATACAAATCTCAAAAATAGGCAAAAGAAATGTTGAGCTTTCAAAAAAGAAAAAGAAGAAAAGCCAATACAAACACACACACACACACACAAGAAAACATGTTGCATAATAACAACAACAATAGCAAAAACAACAAACTACACATACATTAAAGAAAAAAAAAACAAACAAAACTGAGCTAAGACAGCACCTGCAGATATATATGTATATGTATATATATATATATATATGTGTGTGTGTGCGCGAGTGCGGATATTTTCGTCAAATGGACGGCATAAAAACATATAGAAATCAATCAAAGACTATACACATAGATAAATTTTTAAATGCTAAGATTCCGCACTTGTCGATAGAGATGAATATGTTCGAGTATTTTTTGCTGTTTCTTTAGCTAATGACTGTTCATATTTAAATAATTCAGCAAGTGTAACATCATTTGGTAAATAATTTGAATTAGGTGAAAAACGTGATGCAGCCATATTTGCACGTGCTAATCGTATTGATGCTTCACTAGAATAGAAAAAAAAAACGCAAAAGAATATTAAATTATTCGATTTGTTTTGTTTTTCTTATTTAAAATCTCATGCTAGTGAGCATATTTTATTCATTCATTTATTCATGCAAAAGGAAATAAAAACGATGAATGGATAATCAATTACCTGTTGCAATTAAATACTGAAAAATTCTTATTATATTTGAATTTGAATAAAAACAAAAAAAATAATATTATTATTATTTACCTTGATAATAAACTTTCTCTTGCACGTTCAAATTGTGATGCTGATTCATTATGAAATTCTTGTGAATCTTTAACTAATTTATCTGTTTCATCTAATATAGCTTGTTGACTTTTACTTAAACCTTGTAAACCAGATAAATTACCATTTGTTGTTGTTACATATGATGTTGTTCTATAACGTGGATAATCATAACGTTGATCATTTGATGTTGTTGGATAACATGGTGTTGGACGATAAACAGTTCTATATGTATCGGATGATTGATATTGTTGAGGAAGACGGGGTGAACGAGGATAACGTGGTGGAAGACCAATTGTTTGATTTGATGGTGTTGATGTTAAAAATGATATATCAAGTAAATGTGGATGACTGGATATTGTATCTTGTAATGGCATATTAGATAAATTTTCTGCACTTGTACTTAAAAATGATTTTGAATGTTTTGTATTATCAACACGTGGTAAATATTCAAATGTTGAATAATGTGATGTTTTTTGTTCAATTGTTGATTTTTTTAATTCTAATTCATCAATTTTAATATCTAATTGTTTTTTTGAATCTTCTAAACGTTGACGATAAACAGCTAAACGTTGACGTGTTAATTCTGCCATCTCTTCTTCATATTGATGCATTTTTAATTTAACTCTTTCACTATCAACAGGATTAGCATCGAATGATAATGAACGTAATAATGCATCTTTAAAAATAAAATATATTTTATAAAAAAAAAAAAAACATAAACAAATCAAAAGTTATGATCTAATTTTTTCGAAAATATATCGAATAGAGAATCGAAGCGTATAAAGTATTAAGATTAATCTATTTACATGCTCCTGGAAATGTCTATTATTATCTAGGAAATCTTTGTTCGAGACATATCCGTATGTCTATACGTGTAGGAGGAAAATTTTGTTACTTTAGAAAAATTACAGGAAAACAAATATGTTTAGTCAAAATTTTTCTTAGTAATACTGTTAAGATTAATTATCGTTTCGTGTTTTACTTTTTAAACAGTAACACGCATTGATATGTTCATAGGGAAAAAATGTCGAAGAAGAAGAAGAAAAAAAAAACATTTTGAATACATTGCAATTTTTTGATATGATTAATATGAAAAAAAAAACTGAAAATAGATCTAAATAGAATAGTTTCATTGAATGTTAAAGGAAAATATACATTCAAATCAATTTTGCTTAATTCAGTTGATTATTAGAAATAAGTAGTTTAACAACAGTTCAGATTTGCTTATTGTATTTTGCTGAATGAAAGAAGTATACTTGAGAAAAGAAAAATAATTATCGAGAATATTGTATTTTCTTTTTTCATATATCTAATTAAATACGTTTGAGCTAAATTGAATGATTTATTGAAGAGTTTGCAGAGTAAATATTATTCAAATTATCATTCTATGAAATGGGTACAACGACTTTTTTCAAAAGTGTCCTTGCCTTTTTTCTTCTCCAAAATGAAGCTAATAAAAAACAAAGAAGCGTTTTTTTTTTCCTCTTAAAGAATGTTCTTTTTTTTTCATATGATGTCTATGTCATTAACTTTATTATTTGAAAAGTTAAGGTCGAATTCGTGACATTCTATCAATAATTATAAAAATAACGTAGACATTAACCAGACTAATGAACAAAAATAAGTAGAGTTCAAACCGAGTAAAAACTATTTTAGAGCATTAAATGATCTACAACCTGAATTATCGATATGTTTTTTCTCTTGTTTTGTTATAATGAAAAACATTTATTCAAAGGAATTATCAGTAAAAACAAACCTAGTATTAAAGAACATCGACTTTTATTTTCATACATTTTAGTTTTAATAAAAATCTTTCAAATTGAAGCAGCATTTTTAAAAACTAAATCGTACATTTCGTAGGTAACTTCTGAGGTTACAAAATTTCTATCTAAAGTTTCTTTTTTCTTGAGTATGTCCAGATTTCTCAAAAATAATGCTCTTACAAACTAAATGGAAAGTTCAAATCTTTCTTTACAATCTTTAGATAATGTTAAGACAAAAATTTTTTATTTTGAAATTTGACAGGATTTTCATAAACACGATTTTCAAGGGAAAGTGTTTTTTGAAGTTCGATCCTATTGAAAATTTCATCATAGACGCATTTTTGCATATGTTTATTCTAAAAGAATTTATTAATCCTTGTAAAGAATCAAAGTCAAATGAAAGATCAATAGGTCCTGTTTCCTCTGAACTGATTTATATATACCAGATATGACATTTTTTGTTTTGTATAGAACTCTGTTCAGCTTTGATCTTTTTCTCAAAAGATGCGCCATTGAATGTCTATAGTGGAAAGGCTATGATAAAATTTTCAACTCTGTACTATGGCCTGTGAGGGAGATATCTCTCAAACAAGGATCAAAAAATAGTTTGTTTTGTCTCCAAAAATTCTCTCCGATCTTCAATCTATATATTTAATTTTTTTTTTGTTTGAAAGAGCATGTCAGAGTACAATACCAATAAGAGTCCTTTTACTTTATAAACTCTTATCTTTCAAGCGAAGAAAAGGACTGACAAGTTCAATTACTCGAAATACTGTCAAAAAAATGGCATTCTAATGATAAAAGTGCTTTTCAATATATGAATAACAAAGCTATATTCAAAAAAAAAATGAGCTCTCATAGGCACTACAGTTTCGCACGCTCTTTCAAATATTAATTTGATTAAAAAGAAAAATATCTATAAAAATTTTGTCTTATAATTGGAGTAGAACATTCAATAATATATTATTTGTTCAATTTTTAATATAAAATATTTAATTTTCTACCTGTTTCTCCAATAATATAATTTAATTTTGCTTCAGTTAATTCAACCCAAATATTTGATCGACTCCAATTTAATGAAAGTAAATCAAGTATATGTTCACGTTCACGACGTAATTGTAAAATTTGTTGTTCAATTTCTTTTGTTGATCTAATTGATTGTTCTAAATGTTGTCGATTTTTAATTGCATCTTGTGTTGTTATAACTAATTCACTATGATGTTCATATAAATCATTATTTCTTGATGATTTTATACGATTAAATGGACGTTGTGTTACTTCAGATACATCTTCACTATCTGATGATGAACCTTTTATATCAACTTGTAAAGCAAAATTTGCTTTATTACGACGATTACGTAATAACTAAAAACAAAAAACAAAAAAAAAAAGAAATAGAAAAGAAAGAAAAATAACAACAAACTTGTTCATCAACAAGAATTCCTGAATCAGCACTACGTTCAAGTGTTGTTGAACGTATATTCATTAGTGTTTGATTATTATTATTAATATTATTATCATTTGTTGGTAGATAATAATTATCATCTGTATATCGTGTTATTTTTAATGCTGATCTATCATCATTATTATTATTGTCATTTAATTTTCTAATAAAATCTTTTCTTGTATGTATAATTTGTTGATGATCAGATGATGCTATTGATAATGATGGTGATATTGTTTGAATATGTGTTTGAATACCTGAATCATCAAATGTTTGATTTATATTATCATTTATTGTTTGTATACCATCATATGTTGATAAAAAATTTGGTATATCATAGGATGATACTTGTGTTGATGTTGTAGAATTATTAACATAACATTGTAAACCAAAATCATGTTGAATAGGTGGACTATATTGACATGAACGATCAATTTTTTCTTGATGATTTATCATTGGTGATGTACTTGATGTTTGATAAATTATATTATCAATTAATATAGGTGATAATGCCATATCACGTGTTGTTTTTGGTGTATTTATTGTTGTTGTTAATTCATCATTCCATTCATAAACAGATGGAATTTCAATATGTTCACTTGTACGATATTTAATATCATTTGATGGTGCTATACGCATTTGAACAATATTTGGTTCAATTGCTGAAACAAATGTTTGAACTTGATGTGATGGTTGAATATGTTTTGTTGCTTTATATGTATGTAATAATGGACTACGCCATGTTGTACTACTACCATCAATAATTGTACGATCTTGCCATGTATCAATTACTTCAATTTTATCTTTTTTATTTGGTGATTTTGGTGTATGAGAACTATCATAAATATATTCTTCAGGTTGATCTAAATCAACATGATGATAATATGATGATATTGAATTATTATTATCCAATATATTATTTGTTATTGATTGATTTAAAGATTTTTCTTCAGAAGATTTTAAAGAATTATTTGTATAAACTGAACCTTGAGTTATAACAATTGATTCACATATAGAATTAAGCATTGTTGATGGACCATCAATATCAATTGATATCATATCCGACTACAAAAATAATACAATAAGAAAATTTGTTAATTGAAAAAAAAATATATATGATTGAAATGATGTTCAGATCTTGAACAAATCTAATTTCGAAAAGAATTATCTAATTGATCTCTTGGTGATGATAGAATGCATTGAAACATAGAGACAAGATCAGATGAAATCCGTACAAAAAAAAAATTCACAGTCTCAGAAATCTTACGCTAATTACAAAAAGATCTTCAAATGTGACTTGTCAATCAAACTGACGTTTTATTCATAAGTAGGCCTTGATGAAACTAGTCAAAGCCTATAAGGGTTTATCCCTACTTATTACAGTTTTATTTTATCTTTTATCTCTGAAAAAGTATTTGTGAAAAAAAACCAAAGTATAGAATTTCAACTTGAATTTTTACTTAATGGTAGATATCATGTATCTTCTAAAGGAATGTATTCTTCTTGAGATATTAAATATCCAAAAACCATAATATGTTACAAAGAAAGTTATGAAAATTTAGTGTTTTCAAGATTCGATATCTCAAGAACAAAAAAATCTTTTTAAGCTGAAATCTTCAAGACATTCTAATAATCACGAGATATCCTTTTAGGCAAAATTTCATAATTCAACTGTTTTACAAATACTTTTCCAGAGATTTAAAAAAAAAAGATTTTGATTAATGAGTTAAACTTAGTGATGTTCCCTCATAAGTTGTATTATAAGATTCTTGAAAGATCTTATTGCTTTGTAAAATATTACTATAAGTTTATACGAAAATTTATAGTATGATTTAATATAATATTTTGGAGACTATTATTATTATTTTTTTTGTGTCATTTTATCTGATTTCTATCAAATTTTGGACATCAATTCATATGATCAATATCAAATTGAATATTGAAGATGGTATCTAATAAAATAGTTTGAAAATCGGTCATCCGAAACTTGTTTTCAACATCAATTAAAGAAATCATCAGTTGTAGATCTTTATTGTTCATTGGTTTGTCAAATTATCATCAAACTTTATTACTCTATTGATTATTTTTATCCCGAAAGATGATCTAGAGTTTAGACGTAAGATAAGTTCCTTTCGTTTTTTTTTTTTAATAAACGAAATATTATAATAATAATATATCTCAAAATGAAAATAATTAATTTCATCTGTAATAGAAGATCGTTTTACTACTTCCCTAATAGAAAATTTTATATAGAGTATTAGAATTTAAGACTTTCATATGATTTAGCTAATGGGTCCAATCACTTTTTTTTTTCTATCAGAAGTAAATATACTCTATTCAATTATTTATATTTTTACTGTAGTCGTTTTGATGGAGTTTTTGAATTCAAATCCGAATGATATATTCATAGTTTTTTCTTTCTGATTTTCATTTATTTTCAACGTTTGCGATTGAAACGTACTTTTTTTTTAATGTTTTTATTAGACAGTCGCGAGACTAACGAGGGAATCGTTTCAAGTGATACATTATTTTTTTGAGTTCGTACTCTAAGCATACGATAGACTTCAGTGAAGTATGAAAAGTCTCAAAAGGATATTGTTCTATCGAAAGGAAAACTTTGAAATTTTTCTTTTTTTTTCTTTTTAAATAGTTTTTCTATAGAATAAATCAAATATTATACGAATGTTTTCATTTCTTCGAAACATAAATGGTTTCAAATTATTCATATGAAAAAAAAAAAGAAAACATTATAAAGGTTTCATTCTTAATCCTTCTCGATTTTTCTTTTTTTTTTTTTCATTAACATTATAAACAAATATTTGCATGAGCAAAAAAAAACAAACCTCGTCAAAATGTTGAGGATTAGTACCAATAATAGGTACTTCAATATCATCAGATATATGTTGAAATTTTTTATCTTCTTTTATTGTATTATAACCATTTGTATATAAAATCGAATTAAAAACTTGATTTAATATTTTTCGACCTTTATATGGTAAACGAACATGTGGATCTCTTGCCATAATATCAGGTCCAGCTTGAATACGTTTAGTTAATATAACACGTTGATCTGTACCTTGTCGATCAGTATAACCAATTTTAAAACCTTTACCTTGTTTAACTATTTCAAGATCAGATACTTTATCAATACGATGTGTTTGATAACGTGTGGAATTTATAGGTAATAAATCACTTGTTCGTCTTATCATTGATGATGGTGAATGAATAGGATGAGCAGGAGGAGGAGGAGGTGGTGGTAGTGGTGGTGATGGTAGTGATGGTGGTGAAGGTGTTTTTATTTTATATTCAGCTAAATTATGTTCAAGATCCGATATAATATTTGATGATATTGGAATATTGTCAGTAATCATAGGTGATAAAATTTGTTCATCATATTCTTGAATATCTTCTTCTTCAATATCAAGTTCAAGATGTGTTGGTCGTTGTGGACGTATATGAAATTTTTTCATAGGTGTTTGATGTAATTCTGTTATAATTGTTTGTAAATTTGATATAGGTGGTGAATGATGATAATCAACAATTTTAGTTAAATATTGATTATTTTTTTCTGCAAGTATATCTTCAATAATTGTAGAAAGTGATGAAATAGATTTATCTTGATTGATTTTTCGTATATCATCAACAATTGTTGTAAGTTGATCAATATTTAATGGTGAAAGAATATTTTCATTTATTAATGGTGGTGTATGATCAAGTGAATCATTTTCAAAATGATTTTCTTTTTCACCTAATTCAGCTAATTCATCAGCTAAAGTTTTTTTTGGTGGACTTGAAATATTTGATGAATCTAAACGTGATAAACGATATGCTAATTCATTTGGATCAAGATGTGTATCATGTATTGATGATATAGATGTACGTGTTGAATTTGTTGATTTATTTTCATATTGATTATAATCCATATTTTCAATAAAATCTTCTTGTATTGATAAATTAATTAAATTATTATTATTTAAATTTATTGTTGATGTTTGTTCAATAAAATTATTTTGTTTTGATTCATGTATAATTATAGTTGGTTCAATTTTATCAATTGTAAATAATTGTGATTGTTCTAATGAAGGTACTGAAATAATTGTTGTTAAATTATCTGTATATGTAGTAAATAAATTTTCTTCATCATTATGATGATTTTTAATAGATAGATCATTAGAATAAATTGGTTCACTTATTGATCGTGCCCATGCATCATGATCAATAATATCAGAAAAATGTGATAGTTTTAATTGCTAAAATATATATATATAATGAATAGATTTTTTTAGAAGACAAAAAAAAAAGACAACGAACAGATGGATATAATAGTCAAGGAAAAAACAAAAAAAAAAAAAGAAAAAGAAAGAAATCTATATTTAATATTTATCAATCGTGTTATGATGAATGTATTGAAGAGATATTTGACATTGAATTTGGGTATAATGTAAGAAAAGAATATTTTGGATTGATAGGACAAAAAAAATGAAGATTTTAGCAATATGATGAAAAAAAAAAAGACAAATCTTATTTTTGTTCTTTAACAGTCAAATTGAAATTCATTATGGAAATTAACTATAGTTTGTGAATGGATTTTATTTGAACTTTAGAATTTTCTTTTATAGACAAGAATATAAATAGTACTACGAAAAAAAAAAAAAAAGAAAAAGTGAAATATTTCCGTTTCGATTCACTCGAATCGAATGATTTTCTAGGAATTTCAAGTTTTCTTTTTTTCGTACGAATAACATAAGAAACTTTGCATAGGAACAGACCTTAACGAGTATAAGGTTTTTGTAAATGTTTTAGATCTTATCGTTGTTCTTATGTTAAGATGTATCTATGATCAAAGTATATTTTTTTATATCGCTCATATAAAGTGACGAACAAAAGTTTAGAGCAGTTGTATTTTTAAGGTAATAGTTAGGAAAAATATGAAAAAAAAAAACATTTGAGTAACTGAAAGAATTTTCTATCGAAATCGGTGGATCTAAAAACGCTAATAAAACTATTTAGATAAGGACATCTAGAAAACCAAGGACTTCTAAAATCACTTTTCTGGCATCTATTTCAAGGTTTTTGTAAATAGAGTTACATGAGATGTCTCGACTCTCTTCATGACCTTCCTTTATCGAACTGCATTAAATTTACAGAAGACCCAAGAAATATTTTTCTTTTGGCTTTAATAAAAAATTTTAATGATTTCGTTGTATTTTATGTTTCGGAGTCTTCTATAAATTAAATACAATTCGATAAAGGAAGGTCATGAAGAGAGTCGAGACAACTCATTTTGTTCTATGAAATAAATTCATTTTCAAAAGGCTTCAAATGCATATCAAAAAAGTAGTTTTGTGTGATGTAGGTTTTTCAAATATTCTCATTCAAGTAGTTTTAAATCTACTAATCCTAATAGAATATCTTTTCAGTTCTTCAAATGTTGTTTCTTTTTCAGATTCTTCCTAACTATTACCTTAAAAATACAACTGCTTTAAACTTATGTCCGTCACTAAATAACGATAAATTCAATGTTCTTATTTCTAGATAGAAGCAAATCAAAAGACTTGAGATTTTTATAATAAATTATTCACATTAAGATCTATGTATGTACAACACTTTTTTGTTTAAAAAGTGTAATATCTCAGCATCAATAAGCCACGAGCCTGAATTACTTTCAGGATATTTATAGTTTATTTGATTCGATGTAATATCTTGACTCAAAAGTGATCTATCAGTTGAAAGACTTTTCTCGTAAGAGAATAATATTCGAAGTTTTTTTTTTTTTTTATAATAACTACTTCTAAAAATTTGTTTTATTATATTTGCATATGTATAATTCGTTTTGATTTCTTCTACTTATATTCTTCGATGACAATTGAAATTTATCTATAAAACCTTTCCTATATACTTTTCTTAGTTGATAACAGGTAAAATTACTTTTATGATATAAATAATAAAACTTAATAGTAGTATTTTACTATAAAGAAATAAAAAAAATCCTCAACCCATTTGATTAAACTGATGCAGAGATATTTTCAATGTTTTCTTTTTTTTTATTTCTTCTTTGTTATCTTACTACTATTTATAATCTATCGTGTAAATATTGAATAAATTAAATTTATACTATAGTTAATAAATACAATAAAAAAGTCTAATTTCGAATTCTCAATATTATCTTTAATTTGATAATTTTCACTTACATGATTTTGTTCTGATGGTGTTAATGAACGACTTTGTATAGGTGATAATGGTTTTGATTGTGGTGATGAAATATTTGATTCAATTTCACCTTTATCGTCTTCTTCTTCTTCTTCTTCTTCACTATTATCAACTTGTAATATATCGTCTTGATTAATATTAATTGCACTTCTTAAATTTTCATGTAAATCAATAATATCATCACTATCATCAATACTTGATGCATATTGACTTTCTCTCGAACTTGGTATTGTTGATAATGAATGTGGTCTATAGTCAGCTAAAATAGCTTGTATATCTCTTGACTGTACGACAGCAGCAGCAAGTGCAGCTGTTGCCTCGTCATCATCAAAACCCAAGGACATACATAATTGTTTATCTTCTTCACCAAATATTTGATTTATTGGTAAATTTCTACTTGGTAAATAATTTATAATATCATTTATTGGTTCAAAATCATATTCATCATCATTATTATTATTATTTGTACTATGATCTAATTGATGTGGATAATGAAAAACATAATTTAATGGTTCTTTTATAGTAGTTGATGGTATTTGATTGAATGGTATTGGTGATTGTTGTTCATTTGTTTGAGGATTATCTTGTTCATATGATTGTATACTATCACTATCAATATCAATTATATTATTATCTGTATCTGAATGTATTGATGATATTGGACCAATATAATTAATAAATGGTTCTGATATGGCAGCACCTTGTAAAAGACCAATATTAGCTGAATCATTTTTTGTTGTTCCTATAAATGATTCTGTTGTTGTTATTGTTGATGATTTTGGTAATGCTGTTGTATCAAATGATTTTGATTTTTTTTTAATAAATTTTTCTTGTTGATTTTTATTTGTTGTTGAAAAAATATCACCATGACTACGGGATTTTTCTATTAATGCATCATTCATATTTGTATATGAATTTGATAAACCAATAATATGACGTAATTTATATTCACCTAATTCAATATCATCTTTATCACTAAATGCAAGATCAAGTAATGAAAGCCACATTTGTTCAAGAGTATCACGTGTTATATCTAAACATGCATAGGCATCTAATGTTGTTAAAGAATATGAACGTTCACGTAATGTTTCACGTGTTGTTAAAGAATTTAAATTTGGACATGAATATGATGGTTGAAGAGTTTCTAATGATAAATAAAATTCATCATCATCACCAATTGTTTGATGTTGATGAAATATACGTGAATCAGATGATTCTTTATTATCATTAATTATAGTTGAAGATTTTCGTATTGTACTTGTTGGTGATGTTACATCTTGTAACCATTCACAATTATATTTTTCAGCTAAATGTATAGCAGCTGAACTACCAAATGCAGGATAATACATTCCTATAAATATAAATAATTAAATTAATCAATGAACTTTTTTTCTTTTATTAATTCTTGATACCTGTTTGTTTTTCTTTTGGTATTAATTGTTCAGATGAACTTGATGATATTGTTCGTTCAGCATGTTCAGTTAAACAAGGTAATGATATTATTTGTGTTTGATCATTAATACATATCATTGTTGAATTATTTTTAGAAATATTTTCATCATTATTATGTTCCCATACCATTTCATTCTTATCAATATTATTATTATTATTTGCATTATCTTGAATGTCATTATTGTCAACTGTAAGAATGAAAATAAATATATATGCATATTGGGATAAGACATGAAGAATTTTAAAAAAATATAAAAAACGAAAGAGTTCGGGAGAAAAGAAGAAAAAAAAAAGAAATGCATACTTTTATTCTTCAGCTTCTTTTATTCTAATGAAATAAAAACCATCATATCAGTGTATACTAACACGAAAAGAAATGTGTATATACCTTTTGTGGTATTCTCCCTCTCGTTTGCGCTCTCTTTCATTTCCTCGCATGGCATACCCATGTTTCGTATCTAATTTTTAATATGTTTATATACCATATATACACATATACATATTAAGTTCATTCTGTCGACATCCTCAACACGCACAAACTTCATTAGACTGTCACTATACATGAAGCAAATATATGAGACGAAATTGTACATTAATATAAAAAGAAAGATCGATTGAGCGAGTTGAACTTTATCGAAGGGTGAGACATGATGGAGGATTAGTTAACAACCTCAATCGATTCAGATTGAAAGTGAATGAGACATAGAAGATGGACACTATCTTTACATATGTTGAATGTTTGAACGAGACAAAGAAGGCAAGAAAAAGAAAAAGAAATGAGAATTACTCAAGGATAATTGAACTCAAAAGTATACGAACAACTAAGAGTTCTTCTGATGATGTCTTTTGCTATTTTTCGTACACAATCTGCATAATAGCATATATACATGACGTTTGGTATGTACGAAACAATTCTGAACAACTCGAGAAAAAAAAAAGACGTTAAATGGACACGCTCTATGCGTAATATTTTTTTTTCGAATGAAAGAAATAGTAAAAATAAGAGCAATCATTCTCATACATATTGCATCATCATAACTATTCAAAAAAAAAAAGATGCATAGTTTTGAATCGTATATTGATATTCAATTAAATTGTTTAATATAGAAAAGAGAAAAACAATTAGATATATATTTATATCTGATATTTACTTTTATTATATTGAACTGATGATAATGTTACTTGTTGTTGATTATCATCAATATCATCATCATCATCACCATCATCATCATCATCATCATCATCATGATCATGATCATGATTATTTCTAATGATAGACTGTTTCATTTGTATACAATTTAAATTATCATCGGATAAACCAAGTGCTGAATCTTTTGAATGAAATGCTGATGATGATAATTGATTTGTACTTGATAAATCATCTGTTGATGATGCTGCTGTATTTATATTATTCATAATATGATGATCAGGTTGAAGTAATGAATCATGGCTATTTGTATGTTGATTTTGTTGTGTTTGACAAGAAAGAAATTCATCATCAAATGAAAATGATGATGATTCATCTGGTGGTATTACTACTTCTATAAATGGCCTATCGTTTTTATTGTTATTATTGACTTCAATTTCTATATGTTTTTCATCGTCATCACGTTCTTTTTCTTCCACCTTTCTCACATCATCATCATCATTATTTGTTGTTGTTGTTGTTATTGTTGATGGTGATGTCAAATTTAAAAATAAAAAATTTTCATCATCTGTATGATCATAATCTGTATTAGTAGTCGTAGTATTGGTTGTATGATGACGAATATAGTTGTTTTGCATTGTTTCCTTGTTAATCACCTCTAGAAAGACAAAAACACATAAATACACAATAGGCTGTCGTCTTATAATGGTCAGCTTATTTAAGTAGATAGATGTATGTATATGTATATATACGTATGCATTTTCAAGTGTTCTTTCTACGCCCTGGTCATCTTCATCTAATAGACTATTGTTCAAGCATTTTAGCATGGTTTACTTTGTGTCTATTTTGACTATTGTCAGACAATAAGAGCACGAAGAAAAAAAAAAAAAAGAATATGTTGAACAGGTAAAGCCAACGCTCATCATTAAACGAGAAGAGTATAGGCAGTCGGCCCGTGCTCTTTGATTGAAAACAACGCTCGGGTATCTGTATATTTCATTCAGTAATATGCGCATGTTAAATCGATTATGATGAGTTTATGTGAGGGCGTCTTAAATACTATATATATTTTTTTTTCTGTTCTTTTTATTTTTCCATTCCTTGTAAAGAAAATTTAAGATCAGAACAAAATAAAAAAAAAAAAAAAACATAACGTTTTTTTAATCTAGCTTTTTTTCCCTCTTATTCTAATCATTACTACGAACTAAAAATAACAACAACGCAACAAGAAGTTAATCTATTATTTTTGTTGCTTACTTTATGCCAGTAGTTGACCTCCATCATTGAACAGCCTGTCTGCCTGTCTTCTCAGGAGAAAAAAAAAAGTGAAGAATGAGAAAAAGTGTTGAGTACACATTTTCCTTTCTTTCTCTCTTTCGCTCACCTTGTTATTCCAGAGCAATGGCACGCATACATTTATATTGAAAGGAAGTGTCTCTTATTTTCTCCGTCTCGTTTTTTTTTTTCATTCGTATTTTTTTTCTTTTTTTTTACTTTCTATTCTTCTTTCTTGATCGTTTTTGTTATAAGTAGTAAAAATTTACCTTCATGACTATTTTCAATCAATGACAGTTGAAATGATGTTGATTGTTGATTGATATCTTGTTCGTCTATGGAATATATATTTTCATTATTAGATACATTTTTATATAAATTTTTATCAATATTTTCATTGTTCAAATTTGAACTTGATATTTCTATAATACAATAAAAAAAAAAAAAAAAAAAAACATATATTTTTGAACTGTAATTGTCGTTTTATTGTAACCTTGATGTCAACAGCTGTGCACTCTCACATATATACATTTCCTTTTCTGTCTGAGCGAAGGAAAAAAACAAAAGAAAAAAAACCATTAAGAAAGATTACCTTTAAAATTGTTCTCTTCTTGTTGTTGTTGTTCATCATTTGGCCATGATAGTGAACGACGATGTAAAGAATTCATTTGATTATTATTATTATTATTATTATCTTCAATGATAGAATTATTTGATATGATTGTTGAATTTTGATTATTTTCAATAACAGTTAAAATTTTTGATGATGATGTATCAATTGTATTTGGTGATGTATGTATTGATATAATTGATGATGAACGACTTGTTGATGATGATTGTTGATTTGCTTCAGCAAGAAATGTTGTAAATATTTGATCAATCCAATCACCAAATGATGATACTTTACTATTGATATCAATTGTAGATGTTTGTGAATAATCTGATGATATTTGTTTTATATCTTGATTATGATTAATAATTTCATTATGATCATGATCATTATTATTTTCACATTCATTTATATTATTCATATCATTATTATGTAATGATAATGATGTATTAAAATCACTGTCAGCTGAATAATATTGTTCACTTATATTTGATTGTCCATATTCAATTTTATTAACTGAAGGAGAATCTGTTATAGCAGTTAAAAAACTTTTACCTTCATCACTTTCATCAGTTAATGATATTGATTGATTATTTATTATTGATATTGGTTTATATGATAAAGCATTAATTTGTGGTGGTGATTCAATATCAAGTAATGAATCATCGGATAAAGCAAATAAATCATTTTGATTTGTTGTTTCTTCTGAATATTGTTCATCGATTTTTAATTGTAATAATTTTTGTTCACTTAATATATCAACACCTGAATCAAGTGTAGTTTGAGAATATTCATTTGATATTGTTTTTCGACGTATAGAATTTGTTTCATATTGTTCAGTTTGTAAACGTGCATTTAATCTATCACGATATGTTTGAATTGTTGTTAATGAACGATCGATATCATCAGAATAATCTAAATTAAATTCATCAACATCTTCATCTGTACTTGCATAGGAATTTAATTTTCGTTTTGGAGAATATGTTGAAATTTCATTAAGAATTTTTTCCAAATGTTGAACTTCATTTTTTGATGGTGATGATGATGGTGATGATGATGATGATGAGGAAGAGGAGGAAGAAGAGGAGGATGAGGATGAATTATTTTGTTGTATAGGTGATGATGTTTTATTTATTTCACGATTAAATAATGTATAATCAGGTAAATTTGAATCATTTTGCTTATTCATTGAAATATTTTCAATAACTAAAAAAAAAAGAATTTTGAAAAATTATTCTTGAAATTTTACATTGATAAACTATAAACAGGATGTTTTTCTTTTTGTCTTCATCTATCAATAAACGATTTATGATATTGTTTTATTAAGTAAATACTAAATGTAGAAGGTCAATTGGCGGAAATCAATAGATTATAGAGAACAAATACTACATGTTTTTCTTGTTTGACGAAAATCAACTAATGGTGTATAATAGAGATCAATAAATTATAAAAAATTCTCTTGATGAATGATTCATAAAATTTTGTAGTATTTAGGTTTCCTGTCATTTTCTATTGTTCTTTTTTTTTTATTTGCTATTTATTATCATAGAGATTTATGCCAAGAATTTCTGAAGATTAATATTGAAAAATTAGATTTTTTTTTCTTCTTTTTGTTGTATTAAGAATAAGTCAAAAAAGAAAAAAAGATGTCATATGTCAGGTATTCATTGGTTTTGATATATAATCAAGAAAGCGGAAATATGAATGAAAGAGCTTGTCATATTTATGATTCAATTTGCATAAGAAAGAAAACTATTATGAAGAAAAACAAAATATGATTGAAAATATTTGTTTTTATATGATAAATTATTTTTTTTTTCTGTTATAGATTAGATAAAGACTGATGACTTTCATTATACAAAACAAAATGAAGTATAGATTTAGATGAAAACAGATGTTTTGGTTAATTATATTGTCATCTGTTTTTTTTTTAATTTCGATATGTAAAATATATATGTGATGTATATATATATATATATGTTATGTTATTTATGCATAGTTTTTATTAAGTTAAATGGTTTTCAAAGTGTCGCAAATGAAAAATTAAAGAAAAAGCTTTTTTTTTTTTCGTATATATGGTTTGATAGAGCGTGACGAGCTAATCAAGAATATGGAGATTTTCAAGTTTTTAGAATGAGTTTTTTTTTTTGGGCGGAAAAAATTTTCTGAGGAGCTCCAATTTTTTTCTGAAAAACAGATCAAATTTTTTGATACTCGACAAATTTTCAAGTATTTCATTTCCGTTAAATTTTAAAATTGTTTGTTTGAGATTTAGCGTAAAAAATTGAATCTAGAAAATTTATTGCTAAATTACTTCTCTCGATTGAATTTTTTACACTCAACTTCAAATAAAAAAGTTTTACAATTTAGAGACAATGAAAAAATCGAAAATTGATCTATTTTTCAGGAAACAAAATCATTCCAAAACATTGAAAACATCCATAGTCTTAATCAGTTTGTTACACTCTATCTAACTATATCGTTAAAAAAGCTTCTACTTGAATTTGTCATTTCCAGCATCTTATATAGTTATATGAACCAATAGATTTCATTTCTACTATGTCAAAAAAAATAATAATCGTATGAATAGGTATATAACTGTTCCGCATCAACTAACTAAGTCAATTTTTCATCGTCTAGTTGTTTTCATATCACTCAATTATAGAACATCTCATTTTATTTTTTTTACTAAGTTACATGTTTTCGTTGATTTCTTTTAGCTTATATCACCGAATATAAAATGATAACAAACATATTGAATTAAATAAATGGAATTATATATATTATGTCAGATAGAAATTGATTTAGGAATAATTTAACTTTAATCCTTTCATTTTTTTTTTGTCATACCTTCATATAAATGTGTATTACTTTGATGTTGAAGAATTGGTGGTGCTGATCGATTATGTTGTTCACTTGATGATCCTGTATCTGTTGTACTATCTGATATATGTTGTTGTTGTTGTTGTTTTCGTTTTGTTCGTTGTTTTGTTGTAAAATAATTATCTTTTTGTAATTGATCAGCACTATACCATTTAAGATTTGAATATTTTAATTGTTTTCCATTACCTTCAATATTCCATTGTGTATTTTGAGATTGATTTAATAAAGATGGTGGACGATGTTTAGTTGTTGTTATTGATATAATATGTCCATTTGAACTTGTTGTTTGTTTAATATCATTTTGTTGATTATCTAATGTTGGTAAAAGTAAATTTGTTGCTGAACCAATATGATTTTGACATGATGATGTTAATATTGAATCAGTTGTTGTTGTTCTTATTGTTTCCATATTTTGCCAAAAATCAATTTTACTACGTTGTAATAAAATATGACGTGATGATATTGGTATTAAACGTTTATTATAATCATTAATAGGTGGTACTTGTTCAACAGAATATTTTGGATAATGATTTAAATCATTTTCAGAATTTTTTGGATAATTACTTTTCCAAACATATGTTATTGTTTTTGTTAAACCAAATGAATTTATTGGACGATTAGAATTTTTTAATTCAATTAAATAAACTGATGGTGATTTATTTGATGTTGATGATGATGTTGGTGATAATGATTCTAAATGTTGAGATGAATTTTTTTTCGATTCATTTGTATGTGAATATTGGTTTTTAAATAATAATTGTTCATTTTTTTCAGATAATGAATCATCAGATAATGAAGGAATTTGTGTTATTGTTGTTGTTCGAGAAGGTGAAGCTAATCTATATGGACGAGATTTTTTTTTTAATTCAATTGATGATGAACAATTATTTGCATATGAAGATGATGTTGATGTTGATGATGAAGAAGAAGAAATTGTTGATGACAAATCGTTTACAGGTGATGATAAAGTTCCTGTTGTTTTTGATTTTGAATTACGACCTATTTTATATTAAAAAACAAAAAAGAAAAAAATTAATAATTAAACTAGCATCAGACACAAAAAACCTTGATCAAAGTAATAATGAAATAGAAAAAAAAAAGCATCGAAGAACAGAACGATTAATCTATTTTCATAAATTGCATGATAATCATGATAAGTCAAATAGATTCATATTAAGGATATAGTTTAAATGTAATCATCAATATTCATCATTCCATTCAGGGTTAATTAAGTAAGTGATATATATTTGTATAATTTTTATCTATCAATTATAAAAAAAAAAGACCTAACTAGACAAGGTAACCAACAAATTATTTAGCCTTGATGATCGATTTCTTCTTCTATTTCCTTTTTTCTTTGTCTTACATCATTGTTCAATCGATTGGATTTAGTTATGTTTGTTAAAACATCTGTGCAAAGTTTCATTTTGATTCTATACTTAAATTGTAAACCAAAATGGTATCACAAGGTTAGAAATGGAATAATGTAATGCGTCAGATGCTCAATCGTGCGTAGGTGAATGCAAACACTCTCTGTTGTCACCGATTATCAAGTAGTCTCAAGTCGCCATCTTAAATTGAATTAGAGAGAAAGAGAATGTTGTAACACACACATATATATATATACAGTAGCATACCTCGCTTGTCATACATACTCAAACAAAAGTCAAAAAAATCGTTTTCATTTGGTTAGTTGGACATTAGAAGTTGTCATATCAAATGGATTACGCTAGTGATGACAAGTGTTGAATCATTATCAAAGATACTTGAACAATAGTCTGTCTCCTCAATCATTAATGATTGACAAAAAAAAAAGAAAAAAAAAAGAAAGAAGAAAAAGAAGCACGTCTAAAGCACTCAAAATGATTCTCATTTGCAATCTCACACTGAGGTGTTTTCTTTCAATTGTATCGATATCGAATATATGCATCAATGAAAAAAAAAAAGTTGATTAGCATTGCTAAGAATCTCAACAAATGTGTGTATAGTTTGCTTGTCTGAACAATAAGCAATAAAAAGGAAAAAAGAAAAAGAAAAGGTTTACACCTTCTATCGCTTGTATATTTATATATAAGACAAAAAAAAAAATATTGTTTACTTGGGGATATAGTTGACTTATATGATAATGTTACAACTACTATTTCAAACATTAATGAGTGATTGTATAATATGCTTTTAGTAAATAATGATGATCCGATTTGTCTTTTTTCTTGCTAGTACAAAACAATTATTTATAAAAAAAAAGAAAAAACAAACATATCATTGAACTATTTAAAAAAAAATGCACATTTCGCACTTTCATGATAAAGTATAATAACTCTATAGAGACACACGTTTTTCGTAATTTGATATATGTATACATATATATTCTGGTAATAGACAATAAAACAAAAAAACAAAAAAAAGAAAATTTAACACATGCGTGTTTTGTCTTTTCATTTGCTACTTTGACATTTAATCTTTAATTGTTACTCATAAAGATAATAACTTTATCATTTGATGATAATAGCTCATCTGTTGAATATATGAACAAAAACCAAGATTCTTATCATTATTCATTATTGCCGAGACAGATTTTTTGTCTCGCCTTTTTCTTTTACTTTATATGATTAATCACAATTGTCTCATGTAATCAAGACAACAAAATTTAAATTTAAATATATATATATATATATCTATATAGATTATAATAGATCACTCACCACGTAAAACAAGTATTGTTTTATTCACCAATGCACCAAACGAAGGAAACATATCGTCGAATTAAAAGAGATATGTGATGAATAATATTTTCTTTCGTTTCTTTTCCTTTTTTTTTTTTTGTTTTACTATTCAAATTTAAAAGTATCTAAATGTACGAATGATACATTGCCTAATGGCACTTGAAATGACGAATAATGTAGTATTTAAGTAAAACATCAACAGCATTAATTTCTTACGATACCAATCTTATGTATAAAATGTAATGTATGATAGGTAATACTATTCGTTTGCCGTCGTTAACGCCCACTGAGTAATGACATCAAGATGCAAAAAAAAAAAAATGAAAGAATGTATGGTAAAGCTTTCCGATCATTGTCCACTGTACGTGTATGTGCATGTTTTTTTTATTCTCTCTTTCTCTTTTGCTCTTTCTCTTCTTCATGTCATCTAATGTAAGAGACTTATGTCCACATACATGCTTACGAGTACTAATTATAAATCGAATGTCTCTTAGTTCATTTCTTGTACATTAATGATGATGATTTTTTAAGGTATAATATTGATTAAAAAACAAAATGAGAATGATTTTTTTTCTCCTTTTTTAATCAATAATTTAAATTCTCTAATGAACACAAGAATATATTTTATACTAATCATACAGATCGTTTTACGTACTCATGCAAAGAAGAAAAAAAATGTAATCAATGACCAGTAAAGTTTTAATAATGACGATAGTCACTACCGGATAAATATATTTATATGTATGTGCTATACTATTCAAGCTTTGTGTTGTTGATTCATTCTGATCAAACACAACTAACATATTTGTAGACAGACTATGTCTGCCCGGAAACGATTACTACCGATGAACAAAAAAGAAAAGAAAAACTCATATATGTATTCTAATTATTTGTTCATCGAAATTCTCACACCCACATTTTTTTTTCTTTTTGTCATTTCTCTTTTTTTTTGTCTGTAACCAATTTTTTGATTATACTCTATGTGCAAATGACAAAACAGCACATTTGCATATTTACATATACATACACACATGATATACCACCTAACTGAGCGTGATACAGATATAGTTTTATTTTATTTTTTTCTCAATTTTCCACTTGAAAATAATTAGCAAGAAATATTCATAATACACTTACACGGAATCCAGTTAGATCGTAGACGTTTTCGTTTCGGTATATGATGGCAAATATAAAATATAGATGACATTGTTCTACACTTTATAAATGCTGTTTTTAAAAATGCCTATATATATATATATATATATATTTGTATATATTTTATTATCAGTATGAATAATTTTTTTTTCTTCTCTGATTGCTCGTGTCGCTCCGTACACTCCAGGTAATGTACATCAGAGAAAAAAAAACCATTATGTACTTTTTGTTAGTTACTAATGTAGACATTTATGTGACACTTTTTTATTTTTGTAATGGTCATACTGTTTATAGATGGCAGATAAATAGAGCATCATTGAAAATCGATCATAATCGAGAATAACAAAAAACCTGAAACTGGAACTCGATCTGCTTATAAAAACATATGTCTACAGTTATTTTGGCTTTAGCACAAAATCTAAATCATGTGTAGATGATTAAATTACAATATCGATGCAAATATCTTCCCGTTTTTTTTTTGTGTTTGCATATATTTATACATGTTTTTTGAAATTAGAATTAATGAAGTAAATTCAGGTGTAAACGTACGACTAGACGCTCTAAATGTACTTGTGATTTTATGAACGACAAGAAAAAAAGTTTTGACAGCCTTAACCTTGATTCTTTTCTATCAAAAAAAAAGAACAAATTTGAGAGAATACTGTATATTCAATATGAAACTCTATTTGGCTTTTGTGAAGTACATTAACTCAATGGATGCATGGTGTTTTTTTTTGTGCACATTCTTTTCTTGCTTCATACATAACTCTTTTCAACATCATCATCATATACGAAAAGGGAATCAATTTGAATATAAAAAAAAACATATATGTGTATGAATATTTACTTTCATACAAACCTTCTCTATGCCAAAATTTTCGTTGTCGTTTTTCTAATGATGATTCACTATGATTATGTATCTTTGACGAAGATGACATCTTTTTCTTCTTCTTCATTAATATTTGTTCATCTATATTATCTAATTGATTCGTACCATTTGTAGTACAATATAACATCATAATATTCTTCTTTTTCTTTTTCGATAATATGTCCTTATTATAAAATTCATTATTAGACATTGTCAATTGTGTTTGACAGGTATCGTCCTGCAAACTATATAATAAAAAGAAAAATAAAAGAATTTTAAATTTATGAATAAAATTTGAATGATAATTATATTGATTAAAGATTTTTAATGATGAACATAACATCTGTTACCATATAAACGTATATATATATAAATGTATATATATATATATTATTTTTAAATATAATTATATTAACTATCATAGAAACTTAATTTCTAAGTTTTGATCAATTAAACCTGTAGATGTTTTTATTTTCGATATACTCTTTTGAAAGAACATAACATAAAAAAGAAATTTAGTATATATTTGACAAGTATTTTAATAACTACTGCTACTAAAAACAAAATCAATCAGTCTATCTTTCCCACAAGAGTATCAATCAAAGAAAGTAAAATAAAAGATCATATTACCTGGTAATATGGACACAGTCTCATCGAAATCATTCGAAAGAGAAGAAACGTAAGAATAAATGAAAAAAAAAAAAAAGAAACGAAATGAATTGAAAGTTTTTATGCGTTTTGTATATATATATACATATACACATGTTGCTTCTTTTTTTTTACTCTCGCTTTCTCTCTTGAAGAACTTTCGAGTGTCTGTAGTGCTTAGACGTGTCTATAGCAATGTTAACCTTGAAGCTATGCAAAGTAGAAAGAGAAGGTACTTTAAAAGAAAAACTATGTCATCCGTTCTTTTTTTTTTAAATTTCCAACAATCACATTTAACTAAAAGCAGAACACTTAACATGATTGTATTGGATAATTTAAAACTGTTTTTGTACTTATCTTCATCATTTTTCTTTCTTTATCTAATCGATATAATTTGTCCTTTTCTTCTTTTTTAATATTAACACATTTGATCACTATAGTTATCAATAGTCCTACGAGTAATACTCGATGAATTGTTCTTTTGCATGAACATATATGTATAAATATACATTTTTCTTTTTGTTATTTGTATTGATGTAAAAGAAAAAGAATGAGAACAAAGCCATGGAAGAACATATAAGGAGATGTTATATATACAAAGTCATTCTTTTTTTACTATGAAAAACTAGTTGTTTTAGGACTGTGGTCATTTAACAGGTAGAATATGTGTTATATCATAGATTTATCATTATTCTTTTTTTCTTCTGTCAGAACAATCATCTCATTTATGTCTATTTATATGAATAAATGAAAAGAAAAAGATCCTTGACCGCATATAATTTATGCCAGTGAAGTTTGCATAAAAATAATCGATGTTATGTATTGTAATAGAATTCTAGTAAATAGATTTAGAATAAAAGGTGTATTTTAGAAAGAAGTTTGGTATTTTAAATATATAAGAAAGAAAAAAGAGAATTTAAATAATATTTTTCTATCGACGCCTGCAATTTTCTTACTGTTTGTTTTTTTTAATTAAAAACTGAATATTTATTGTTGACATTTAAGTCATAGATTTGAATAGAATACTAAGGAAAGAAAATTGTATTTCGATATTAAAAAAATATGTGATTTGGTAAAATATTTTAAAACTTACAGAATTTGCAAAAGAAATAATTGTCACTATGATTTGTATGAAATCAATTTCGGCATTGATTGCAATTTTTTCAAAAGAAGTTCCAACAAAGATCAAATTCAGAATTCGAAAGTTAGTTCGTGCATAATATTATAATCAATACTGAACTGGAAGTCGTATGAACCACATCAACTTCTTATGTGGTAAAAAAAAATTTTATTCTCATGCTCTCTGTTATTTCTATACCAACAAGAAAACAAAAAGTTGAAGTTTTAATCGGAATGAATTCTTATGAGAGAGAAAAAAAACATTTGAAAAGATTAATGTAACTATTTATCAGAATAATACAAAAGATTTTCATCAAAATTTCTTCATAGTGAATATGTTATTGTTCTTTTCTATGAACTATTAAACTTATTCTTAGATAATAGGATGAGTTTGTTTTGTTTGTTTAAATTCATTGAATTTTTGTATAAAGATGTTCTCTCTTTTTTTTTGTATGATGTTTGAAAATTACTTGATTTCTTTATTATTCTTATACTTATAGAGAAGATTATAAAAATATTAGAGAATCTTAATTTATATTTTATACGTTAACTTGTTGTTTTTAGTTACTCAAGAAACCTTTCATACGTAAAACATTTCTACGTATTCATCTGTCTATAAATAACATTACATATTTTTCTTTGACTTATTTAAATGAAAAAAAAAAGAAAAAAGAAAACGAGTTTGCTTTCTTTTTTCTTTTTTAATTCTATTTCTCGAATATTTCATTTAGAAAAAGTTAAATAAGATTTTTTTATCTTTTTACCTATCATGATCATGATCATGATCATGTGAATCGACATCACTCGTTGATGAATTTTGATTTGTATAAGTTAAAAATGTTGTACATGATGAATTTTGACTTGATATTAGTCGAGGAATTTTTGTTCTCATATTTAATGATCGACTACTATTTATTGATGATGATGATGGAGAATATTCACTTGTAGTTGTCGTTGTTGTTGTAACATTTGATGATGATGGTGTTGTTGATATTCTCACTGGAATTCTTGATGTTGATTGTCTTCGTTCAATTTGTTGATGTATTAATATACATGATGGAGAATGTTCATTCTGTTGTTTTATTAATGATTTTTTATTATCTAATAGAATTGATGAATCATATGAAATTGCACGACGTTTTGGTTTATTTAATAAACGTCGTCGACTTGTTGTTCTAATTCGTTTATGTTGATGATATTTTGGACATGTTGGATCATGATATTGTCGATGATTTAATGAATTAGGTAAATCTTTTAATGATTCACATTTACATGTAACACAACGTGGACATAATGGAACCCGTATTCGTTCTTGTCCTTGTAATAATGGATCACACCAATTACGAAGTGTTCCAGCAAAAAGTGTATGTTCATTTGATGTTGTATTAAATAAACTAGTTTCAATATTAGTATTATTATTATTATTATTATTATTTGATAATTCTGACATTGATTCTGTTTGTCTAGTAGATTCGATTGTAGCTGCTTTGCAGCCTAGAAAAAAAAGAAGTTATACGTAAATAATACGATAGACAGTATGATGATTGTTCATTTGAAAAAAAAAAGACGAAAGATAAACTAAAGAATGGATTGATTTAGTTACTATAATATGAAGACGAAAGAGAACACACAAAACATACACATTTAACTGTTATCATTCTCTCACCACGTATGAGTTCAGGGTTAAATTGAACTTTTGCAACACCTATTCGAACGTCAATAGTATAATTATTAAGACAACTATTTCTCATTCTCTATCAACTATCCTTCAAATACTTTAATATATCTACACATACCAATACAAAAAGTAAAAAGACGAAAAAAAAAAAAAAAAAGATAGTTTGTATTGAGTCTCAACTATCATTGCCTCGAGGTAAGACTGATATAAGAATAAAAAAAAAAGACGTAGTCTTCTCGCTAGAATTAATGCTTGCAAATAGGACTTGTGCATCGTCAGACATATGGAATATGTCAGTCAAAAAAAAAAAAAGAAAGACAACTAATACCATGAAACGGAAAAGTGTGAGAGTGAAGAGGAAAAAAAAAGGTATAATAGATGACACAATGCTTCCACACACACACTATCAAATGCACAGACGCATACATCATCATTGCAGAAGCGATTATTAAATAAATGGAAAAGAAGAAAAAAATTGGACAATGACAGATAACTCTCTCGGTGGCATTTAAATTCAGACATCAGGTAGGTTGACAAATCGTGTCGTCGTCTATGCACACTATTTAACTTCAAATGAAAAGAAATAGAAGAGATAAATAGAAAATTGCATGCAAGTGCATAGAGACATACCACAGCAGGAGTGACCAATTTAAATAAAAGGTGGTAGTGGCTATTTAAGAATTATTATTGATCAAAATGAATGTTAATACATAGACCATTTCTTTTGTCTGTCTAAGACTTTTCTCGTTAATCAGTCTAGTCTACCTTATTTTAACTTCCGTTATTTTTCTTTTTTTTTAATGTTCTATGCTTTCAAACAAAATAATTTCCGAGTGAGTGTTTACTATTAAAATGATCGATTGTGATAATGTATGTCTATTAAACTATATATACATTTATGATGTCACATGCATATATCATCGAAAATGACAATTATAAAAAGTGAGAGAAAGGGAGAGGGAGAGAGAGAGATATATAATATAATCAAGTTCATTGCATTAAAACGTCTTATACCTAATGTTAATGATCAAATATGCAAAAAAGAAAAAGAAAAATTCATTAACAAAAGTAAATCAAAGGCTCAAGATGAAAAATGCTATTCAATACACTTAATTCTTTTTCTATCACCATACGTCAAGTGTCCGATGAAAACAATAAGTGCTATCGATATTTAATTTAAAAGAAAAAGAAAAATATACATATATCATCAATATGCAAAAATAACGAAAAAACTTTAATATGAAATTTTTAACTCATTTTTATATTTTTTTTTGTAAATAAATACTATTGTTAGTTCTTATTGTACTATAGAATATTTATTTTAAATAAATATATTCAATATTTTATAATATAATATTTCAATGATCAATCAACAAAAGATTTTGCTTATTGTTCTATAATTAAAGTTATAATTATTATTTATCGTTTTTTTTTTCTCTATATACATTAAACGTCACTGTATATGTGTCAATTCATGAAGGAAAAGATGAATTAGTGATAAAAAAAACAAAGAAAAAAACGGATTATTATTCTACGGAAAGAAAATTTCTTTTCTGTAGAGTTCATAATTTTCTCCTTCCTTCTATTTCTTGTCAGACAATACTACCTGATCGATGTTCATTTGATGTCGTGAGCAGTCCACATGAACTACATATAATGAGCATGATGGGTTGATTATTAATGTCGACGTTCGATGATGAAAAGAGTTTTATTTTTCAAGTGTTATACGGGTTAATGTTTGAGATAGAGACAACGATTTTTTTTCTTCTTCTTCTTCTTCTCTTTCTGATATACTCTTCCTTTTGTTACGTTGTCAAAAAAAAGAAAAACGGAATAACCAAAAGATTGAAGTGCTGTTTGTCTATCTATTTCTATTTCTTGGCGCTATGCTGATAAAAAGAAAAGACAAGATACCTTACACACCTGGTCACATTTTTCTTTTACTTATTTCATATACTATAAGAGTTAAAATAAAAGTTAACTTACATCCTTACGTACAATTGTTTGTTTTTATTACAATCAGCTTTGAATCAATATTCATGCACATCTAAGTGTGATTTAATATGTAAAAAAACAAAAGAAAGATTATTATTATTATTATGATGATATCACAATATTGAAGTAAAAAAAAGAAAAGAAAAGGTATTAAAATTCCTACGTAACATTCATTTCTTTCTCTATATTGATATACAATTGAATGAAATGTAAACATTGAAGAAAATGAATAATAATTAAACTTGTATGTTAATGTTATAGACAATCTTCTAAAATCGGATGTTCAAACTTTACTTTAAAACTACTAATGAATTAGTCAAATTTTAATTATAGAGAATAAAAAGAAAAGAAATCTTATAGAATATGTTTCAAATTTTTTTTTTTTTAATAACAAAATTTAACATGATTTAATCTTATTTGAAATATCATTACTTTCGAATGTGTTAAGTTTCTTAACTAAAGAAAGAAAGAAAGCGAAAAAAAAACAAAAGATGTACATATTGCATGATAAAATATCTTATACTGAAAATAGAATTAATACTATTTCATCCGGCTTTTTTTTCTCTTAAGTAGGATAAAGATAGAGTATCATTTATCCTGTATTAATAAAGACATACTTCTCTCTTCTATAGTAAGTTTTCTTGCTAATTCATATTAGAATTCTTTTTTGATTGTAGTTTCCACCATTAAATAATTTCTCTTAAAATCCTCGACATATTAGAAGATTTTGGTCAATAAATAAAGCAAAAAAAAGAGTTCCTGTTCGCATCCTATTTTGTAGCATTTAGGAGTATACTGTATAAATAATATTTTACATTCGACATCTTTACAATATGTTAACACGAAATTAGATAACGCATGACAAAATACTAATAGAAAACAAAATAGTTGATTAAAAATGACTTTTCTCTATTAAAACAAATTTGATCTAAGGACACTTAAATACTTCTTTACAGTACGTTCTTAAAATAAATTTTCTTTATTCGTTTCTACAACTATTGTTAAGGCTTTATGCATTTCAATACTCACATATGGAATAATCTTTAACAAATAAAAGAATATATTCAGTGAAATTTGGATCCCTATTACTTACAAAAAAAAAAGTATATTTGACGACACGTGTTGAGACATGTGCTATAAAGCGTACGCTCTATGCCTGAGGATACTTTCTTGTGCAAAACGATGCAAAAAAATTTTTTTTAAAACAAACCCAAAGAATATCTTCAAAGTTTATTTAACTGCCTTTTTTTTTCCTGTAAAATTGCTTCTTGATGAATAATCTTAGGGCTAACAATTGAGTCTTAGAACGAATTTCATTTATATGATTGAAATTTCAATATAAAGAGCTGATTTTAAAATAAAAATTTAATTTTCTGTATTTTAGCTACTTAAATAAATGGAATGGTAAATGTTGCAAGTGATGGATTTTATTCTATAGAAAAAAATCAGTTTTATTAGAAATCGTACCAAGTTTTTCCGATTGTATTGGCTGCATTATTTCAAGAATACTTGTGTTTCTTTTTTTGTTACCAATATTCTGTTTTCTTTTTTCTTTACACTGAAATATTATCTATTTCTTTTCTATTGTACGAATACTTGATAAATGAAATAAAATCATTTACTAATCATGACGTAGACAAACAATAAAAAGAAATATTGAAATTAGAAACTATCGACAAGATAATCAAAAAATAAGATTTTTCTAAGAGACATAATAGAAAATCTTCTGTTACTTGTAAATGATAAGAAAGAATAGAAGACATGGGATATTCTCATATGTCAAGAGTTTTTATAATTCTCTACAAAATCATATACGAAACTCTTTTAGTAACAAGGATATTGATTTAGATCTTATAAACTATTGAATAGTTCATCGAAATATTTGACCTTGTAAGAACATGTGACTTAAAAACAAAATATAAACAACGACTTTGACATTTTGATAAAAGCATTTACCTTTGTATGAAGTGTTACAAAAATGATTCACCACAAGCAAGTTTATCGTATTGTAACGTCATCAAAAAAATTCCTATGTGGTTGTGTTGCATCACGATGATTATAAGTTGAAAGTTTTTTGTTTTTCACATACGTAACATATTAACTTCAAATTTGTCAACTCGTTTTATAGCGACAGAAAAACTGAACGAAAGTTATTGAGTACAAAACAAAAACACTATGAAACTTATTCTACATACTTAAAAAGCAAAACAATAGTCGATCATGATGCAATACATTAATCGTTATCAAATGAAATATTGAAACTAAGTGTTACTTGAAATGTATCTTCTTAATTTCGAATAAAAACTTTCGAGTTATTGCAAGAGTAATATAATACAGTTTCGAAGTTTATTTGTTAGCAGTAGATATTGATCAATCTTTATGATATATCTGAGTTTGCTCGAAAAATAAAAATATCGAAACATGATGTATGATTATAATAAAGGAAAAAAAAAACTGTGTTATGGTGTTATTAGTAAAGACTTTTTATTTTGCTATTCGAAGTATAACGTCTATATTTTGAAAGAAAAATGTTTTTCTTTTTTTACGAAGAAAAAAGAACATAGAATAGTGAAATAATATAGATAAATGAATAAATCAATTACTATTATACATATATATTTTTATTTATTTTTTTTGCAATTACATAGGATAAACCAATAAGAAGATCCGATCCTTTAATAAGATTATTATTAAATCGATTATACAAAGTATTAATACATTGTTGTATAGCTCTTATTCGAATATTTTTTTTTTCTTGTAGTATCAGTCCACCACTGAATTGTAGTCTATTGTACCTTTTTTTTTCTTCATCTTGCAAGAATTTTATGAAGACTATATGTTGGGATGATTTTGATAAACATGACTGTTCATACTATTATGATAACCTTTAACAAGAAAGAAAATAAGCTTAAAACTGAAACCATCATTCTTATAAATGTTGTTCATTTGTGTATTACAATATTTTGCAAAAATAATTCATCATTTTTTTCTGCTATAAGATTATGTTCGATGGTCGTTAATAATTTCAGATAGTAGTATATTTAGTTTTGCTATTAGGAATATATAATATAGATCTGAAATGTCGTTCCATTGAATTGGTTTATGGTTTCACCTTTGATGATGGCAAAAATGAATGTATCAAACCCATTATAATACGAAGAGCCGGCAAACTGCTTGAACGTCGGAATCAATCATCAATTATTAAATGATGGCAACGGAAGCTCTCCAAGAATGATATTAAATACATGTTATCTCTTAAACAAAGAAAGGAAAAT